TTAAACCTTTCTGTAGCTTAACGATTCCCAGCTTTAATTGAAAGTCTCTGTAACTCGACGATTCTCAGCTTTATCTTAAACCTTTCTGTAGCTTAACGATTCCCAGCTTTAATTTAAAGTCTCTGTAGCTCGACGATTCTCAGCTTTATCTTAGAACCTTTCTGTAGCTTAACGATTCCCAGCTTTAATTTAAAGTCTCTGTAGCTCGACGATTCTTAGCTTTATCTTAGAACCTTTCTGTATATCAACGATTATCAGATTTAATTTAAAATCTCTCTGTAGCTCGACGATTTTCGGCTTTATCTTATACTTTTAGTGCCGATGAAAGAATCGATAGCACCATCCCTACGAACGTGGTTGTACAACACAACGGAACATGCACATATATCCCACCGGGAATTTTCAAAAGCACATGCAAGATTGATATCATGTGGTTTCCTTTCGATGACCAGCAGTGCATAATGAAGTTTGGTTCATGGACCTACGATGGACGAGCACTGGATTTGCGGCTTTATAGCGAAGAGGCAGATATGTCCGCCTATATTGATAACGGAGAATGGATCCTATTAGGTCAGTAACAGTAACTTGGTCAAAGAAATGAAGGACAAATAATGACTGGATGTCGAAAACTGTACATATTTTTCAGGAGTTTTAATTTTTGTAATGATGAAATTGAGAAACAAAATGTCAGAAACAACCATAGCTCATTTTTAATATCAAGATAACTTTTTATGGTTATTTGCTTAATTATGTCTGTATGTTATTGTAGTCTATGCCTGGTTTTGATTTAATTTAGATGTATGCATTGTCTTTGGTAGAGGTCATACGTCACGTGAAGAAAACGTAGCTTAATGACTAGCATTTTCTTGAAAGACTAGGAAACGATTTGAACGACATAAGAAATAATTCAGCCAAAACTAGTAAAGATTTGGATTTGTTAGTGAGTCTGTTATAGTAGTTGATTGAAACATTGGGTTTTTGATTTTATTAGTCAGTTGCCTACTACTCCACTTTTGTGAATGTTTAATAGAAAAAATAGACACAAAAAATAACATAGATACGAGAAAATTAACAAGTAAGTGACTTTTTTTATCGTTATTTGTGAATTTAGGCCTACAGATAATTTGCGAAACCACGAAGGTTACAAAACTTGTAGCTGAAGAAATAAAACGCTTTCGTTATCCTAAAATAAAGTAGACTTTATGTTATTTTAAAACTAAATAATCCAGAATAACCAGTTTAACAATAAAAACCATTATAGCAATATTTCTATGTAAGTATTTGTATTTATGGCAAAGTTACTCCTAATTTTGAACTACTGTCCATCAACACTCAACCATACCATACGTCATTTACGTTAAGAGATTGGCGGCTAGTCTTATAACATAAAGTGCGGGAAGTATTTTGTGATATCACATGGATTTGAATCCCGCTCGTCAGCTTCGAAATACAGAGCTCTACCACAGGGTCAACCTGCACCGTTTTATACAAGCAACACATATGTATGTATACAAAGTTCTTGAAACTGCATTTGGCGTCATCTCTTAAAAGGACCACTTTTCAAACATTTGGATAATTAACTCATATGCAGATATCGTCAGTCAATAGCATTTAAAAAATAGTCAATTTGAAACACGGGTCCGGGGGTGGCCTAGGAGTTAACATGCCCGAACCATGAATCCAATGGTTCATGGTTCTCTTCCCAATGCTTTGCACTTTTGAAGTTGCGTGCGCTAAAAGAGTGACCGTAAATTTCTACTATTCGGTCAAACAAAAGTTACCCAATAGTTGGCGGTTGGTTTGGGTTCTTTTGATAGCTACTTCCCGTCTATGCTGGGGTTTTATAATTACAGTACTTGACTCTCATCCTGAGGATCGTGGAATCGAAACCCGCCGCCGAATGCTATCCCTTTCAGCCGAGGCTGTATAATGTGACGATGAATCCCACTATTCGTTAGTAAAGAGTAGTCCAACAGTTGATAATGTGTGCTGTTGACTAGCTGCCTTCCCTCTAGTCTATCACTTGAAAATTAGGGACAGCTAGCGCAGTTAGTCCTTCAGTAGTGCCTCCCAGTGGCACAGCGGTATGTCTGCGGACTCACAACGCTAGAATCCGGGTTTCGATACCCGTAGTGGGCAGAGCACAGATAACCTATTGCGTAGCTTTGTGCTTAATTACAAATAAACAAACCTTGAGTAGCTTTGCGTAAATTTTATCGAAAATAAACATACAAAATTAGGGACGGCTGTGCGCAGATAAAGCACAAACATTTGAAACATAAGAGAGAACAAGTAAACTTCTATGTATGATCGCCTCTTTGCAAAGGTTCTGGAATATATTCAAATAGAAATCACACAAATTTCAAAATCAAGTTCAATTGTTCATAGTTAACTGACGAACGAAAACTTTACTGTTTATGATAAATATTTTATTAGTAAACTCAAATGACTCAATTCGTCTTATGTCATTGTTTCTAATACACAGGGTGGTCCAAAATTACCTTTCCTATTTTAAAGTTTAATAACTAAGGAAATACAACCATGTAGTTTTCAACATCTTGTAGCCCAACTCAAACAGTTTATATTGTCACGTTTTTTCTCACTCTAGTGAGTAGTGTTACCCCATAAAATGGGAACTGTGCAAGAAAAGGCTCAATACGTAGTTTGGCTTGCAGAAATCAAGTCAGTGACTGTGGTGCAACGTAATTACAGTCGCCAGTACAGGAAAGAAGTATGGGGTATGTTAAGGATATCTATTGCACGCCTATAGCAAACACCACAGAGCTATAGACCAGGATAACGAACTTCATCACCAGTGTAACTGTGGGCGTGTTGCGGTGAATCTGGACTGAAATCTAACGTAGGTTAGATTTGTTGAGAGCCACTAATGGCGCTCATGTAGAAGATGTTGAAAACTGCATAGTTGTATTTCTTTAGTTATTTAATTATTAAATTTTAATATATGAAAGATAATTTTGGACCACCCTGTATTTTAGTATGTGTTACTTATATCGCTTTCACACCATTCATGCCGCACTTTAACTTACATATTGTAATATTCAGAATTGAACAAAAACTAAAACATCTTCAGAATAGATGGACAGATGAGTGAACTGAAATACTTTTTTCTCACTATTCTAGGTTTTAGGGGTAAACGTAACGTCATATTTTACACGTGTTGTCCAGAGCCGTACGTGGATATTACCTTCACTCTGCACATTAGAAGAAGAACCCTGTACCATGGATTCAATTTAATCATTCCCTGTGTGCTAATTTCTTCTATGGCCTTACTAGGTTTTGCTCTTCCTCCGGATTCTGGAGAAAAACTCACACTTGGTAAGTGTGACTACTTGATTCTAGGGAAAATTGACATGTGGTAAGTTT